TTTGTTTCAAGATATGGTTAAGAAAAAAATAATAGATAATCGATATAGTTAAGAAAAATAGTAACTTTCTATTAGAAGATTTATATATATATATATAATAAACAAATAAATAAATATATATATATATATATAGAAAAGTATTGAAATTTAGTTCACATGGACTTCTCTAAAACAATTGAAATTATGTTTATATACTGAATGTGTGCAAATTTTTTTAAACCAAAATATCTATACTATAATAATTGTTCCAGTAATACTAGATGCAGAATTACAAATCTATAATCTATGAAAATGAAAGGCTCTGCTTCTCGTTGCACAAGTACAACATTTGTTATTATAGAGCAATGTCAGGTGTCAGACAAAACTGAGACAGTTCATTGTGTAGTTATATGATGAAACAGGCAAGCAGCAACATTATGCAATTATAAGACTCTCGCCGTCTAGGGAAGTCATCTGAACAAATTGAAACATCTTTTTAGGGATATTTCTTTGTGTACTGATACAAACAAAACATGATATTTAAACTGGTTTATCACGAAGTTGAAAAAGATAACATTTTAAAGTTTGGTCTACCTCTATATGTTTATTTATAAAAAGATTGTTTTTAAAACAATATTTCAGTATCAATATAAAACCAAAAAATATTAACCACTTGGAAATAATGTAAAGTATCTTGCTGCAAAACATTGGACACTTTGATTGTATAGTTTGAAAAGTAATGGAATTTCAATTCTAAAAAGCTGGTTTTAAAAACTCATTTAATAAAAACTTTTCAGTTAACTTTATAACTTATACTGCTTAATAATGCTGATGTATTTGTTTCACAAAAAAAATGCAATTTTTAAAATACTTAATTTACCAATGATTAAAAACATGAGTGGAACATACCAACATGATGGTTGAGGACAAACCTTAATTTATCCAGAAGCAGCTCTTAAAAGTTAAAAACAAAAGAATGAAAAATTATTCTTATAGTAAGAACATACTGACAAATGGCTTAGTTAGTTTCTAACTTAGGTAATGCTAGATTTTGAAATAATGTTGAAAGAACTTGTATAGAACTACTACAGAAATATGACTCCACATTAAGAAATAAAAGTAAAGCATATATGCTCATTAGTTAATTTTACTTTATCATTGATCATCTGATGATTCCATGTAATTTTGACAAATAGTTACTTGTTCTTTAAAAATGTTGGAAAATTTTGAAAGTTATACCAAAGATGTAGCCAGCAATTTGTTGTGTAAGTAATATAGAATTTATACATTTTTTAACCAAACAGATTTTTTTCTAGTTAAAACTATGATAATTCATTGGCTGCTGTGTGTACAGGAAAACTCACAAGATGCACTCTGGCTTTTGACCGAATGTTTTTTGAACTAAAGTTTAATGCTTTGCATTTATAATTTATCTCGGGTAACTAAATATAAAATTTGTTTTTAGGTACCACAAGTACAGCTAGTAAACAGCAGTACTCTAATTGACATCCTAACTCCTGCAGAACAAAATGACAGCGAGTGTGTGGTGGTTCTGTTCTATTCTCCATGGTGTGTGTTCTCGGCTAAAGCAGCACCACATTTCAATGCTTTGGCTAGAATTTTTCCATACATCCATTTTTTAGCCTTAGACACTGCAACATATTCAGGGTGAGTGACATATAAGTAAAGAGTTTTCATATAATCTTTATACACATTGTTGAGCTGTACTTTTTGTGTTAGATTTTATTAAATAAGGGAATGTAGCAGTAGTTTTAAAAATAGTGTACTTTATTTAGTTTTATTTGTTTTATATTAGTTCCCAAATAAACTCAAAACTTTACTTTGTTTATTACATTTATCTTACTTCGTAAGTAGTATGTAAAATTACATAAAATATTCTGTAACTTTTACATGAATTATATGTTTTTTAATGCCCGTTGTTCTTAATTTTTAAGAATTTTAAACACTCGTACTTAGATTTAGTGGTTTGTGAGCTATCTGTAACATCTTTTGTTTGACATTTAACAGTTTTAGTTTAATAGCATTAAGTAGACTTGTAGTTGATTTTTCACAAGGAGTGTAGATATTCATACCATGTAATACTTTTTTTTAGCCTCAACATGAGATATGGACTTGTTGGTGTGCCTACAGTGTTATTATTTCATAAAGGAAAGCCAATAGTAAAGTTCAATGGCTCAGAAGCTCAGATTGAAAATTTTGCTGTATTTGTGACTAAATATACAGGTATGATGTAGAGTGCAAGAAAATATTTTGTTATTATATGTAGTACATACATAGGTAGAATATTCTAGTAACAGATAATTGTTTATACATGTTACTTATTGTAACAGTTTTATAAATCTTTCCAGTGATACTCTTGTTGAGGCCTTCATCACAAGAATTTAGGCTCTTTGTAATGTGTTAGTTGGTACTTCTAACAGTTTGGGATGTCTGAATTATGTTGTTTTTCAAGTTGGATAAGTTCATGTGATTAACTTTAGCTATATACAAGGAAGCACTCTAGCAGGCCTTCAGTAATTTACTTTTTGCATGCTTTTGATGAATTGAATAAAAGTATTGGGTAGGCACATCAGTGTGATGTGTTGTTTCATATATAATCCAAGTGAAAGTGCTTGAGAGGTAAACAGTGTAGTGGTTTGATTTGATTTATACACTAGAGTTTAGTACTGGCTAAAGTTCAGGCTCTTCACCCTCCAATTATGAAGTTTTTTCATAACACATTTGTCAATATGCAGTCCAGGTAACATGGTACTATTTATAATTCTGAACACAAGGCATCAACAGCACATTAGCAACCATTTTTGCTTTTTAGTTTATTAATGGTATTTTATTTATTTATTTTTATCACCAATGCAAATAAGATGATTTCAATAGTTATTTCTACAATACAGTTGATGAGTTTGGCACTGGATCTCCACTCTCATATAATGTCTTCAAGGTTCTAGTGATGATAATGTTCAGTTCAATTTGACTTAAGTAGCATCTGTACTTTCCATTTTATAAATGACAAGGAAAAAAGTCAATATTTCTACCTTTTCTAATTCACTTGTTGTATTAATTATTAAATATATATATATTGTATTATACTTTAAACACTATATATTAAACATTGTTATAGTAATAAATAATGTTTTTTTCCAAAACATACTTACCATCTGCTGACACTTTAGTTACTTGTTGATTCTGGAATTGTCTATCTAAGCATTGGTCTTGCTTGCTTGCTCCAGTTTTTTATACCCCACTTGAATGCCTTTGACAATATCTAATTTGCAAAATTCTTCTATCCAGGTACTGTTTATAAGCATTTCATTCAGACAATGTAATCACTTTTTCTTGACAAAGCATTGGTCATGGTTTTGTCTGATGTGATGTTTGCAGGTATGGATTCCTGTATTACGGTTGTCAAGCACAGTGGTTCATCTGACTTTCCCTATTCCTCCTTTGTTATGGGTCGAAGGGGGGGTGTTGGGGGTATTTTTTCTTCTGGGCCTCTGAAGTTGTCTTTTTTGTTGATCCTGGTTATTCTAGGGAGAATTTAGACTCGGTTTTTCTGAGGCTTTTCTTTACTAAGTCAGCTTTTTTGTGATTAACCACCTCATTTTCCTCAATTAGTCATTTGGGTTATGAGCTGTTGGGGCTTTTCTCTGTGACCTTTAATTCTACTCCTACCTTGATGGTGGAAGGGGGGAACTATTTAGATTTTCCTTCTTCACCTGATAATTCTAGTTCATGCTGAGTGATTTACTGCATGCTTTGGCTTTCCATCTCCTGGGGGATGTATTTTTTCATATCCACAGATTAAAGTTATTTAATATGGGGTTCCAGATTGGTTCATGTGATCACTTGAACCAATCAAATCTTTTTGTATTTGTTTGCTTCTCAGTCTTGTTCTGTGACTCTTCTTCCCCCACAAATTATTGGCAGCCTATCAATGGTTCCCACATTTATTTGCAGATGAATGGGGTCTCCTACTGACTTTTACCTTGGTCAAATTGCCTGCTTCTGTTCCTTTTGTCTATCTGCTGTAGCCTCTGGGTGTTACATGTGGCTTTCTTTTATCAACACTTCATGTTTGCAGGTGTCCCAGAGGTATTTGTATCACAAATTGCAGTCACCTGTTTGCATTTTTGGTGTTGTTGACCTGTCAACCTTCTTTGGCTCTAGCAGCTGAATAAACTCAGACCTTATTTTTAGGGCCACTCCATTTGGCTGATCAATGCCAAGGTGGTGGTGGTGGGTGGGGAGGTCAGTTAGAGTGAGGTTACAATTATTGATGGACACATGGTATTCCTTCACTGCAGGTCCATGGTCACTTTGGGTTCTAGCATTGAGGTCTTTCTATTCCATTCTCCACCTCCATTATCCTCTCACTCTATGGTATTTCCACCTTCTCCTGATCGGTGGGGTGTGGATTTTTGTTTCTCAGCTATCAGAGTTACTGATCATGAGGGTGGTAGTGACAGTTGATCCCATTCTTCAGGGATTTTATTCCTGTTTATTTGTTGTGCCTGAGACAAGGGAATATACGTGGACGATCATTGTGTTTTCTCATCTCAACCCATTCTTTGTTTCTTCTCAGCCCTTTCTCACCCTAAATTGGTATTCTTCACCAGGTCCGTGGATGCCCATGTTTGTGGTTGCTGAGGCATTTCTCCACATTCTGTTAATTTTAGGTGGTTTGGCTTCCCACCCACTTCCTCACCTTCCATTTCCCACCTGTCCTCCCATTCCATTCTTGATCGGTTTCATGATCTGGTTCACTCCTTAAGGAGATATGTGATACATACTGCCTTCTTTGTCCTTTGAAACAGATTGTTCAGGCCGGAATGTAGACTACTGCCGATACCTTCATTGTTCATTATCTGCATGATCTAGCTGTATCTTTCTCTAGTGGATGGATATTATCGACCTTCCTTGGTGATTCTACACACATCAGGTTGTCTTTGAATGGGGTAAGTCTGATCACTTCCTTTCTTTCGTGTTTTCTTTTCAGCTTCCCTAATCGTAACATCTACTTTACAGATCCCACCACCTTGTGGCAGGTGTTGCCTGGTCGGGTATATTTTGATTCAAGCCCACACTAGTTTAGAGTAACTATATAATGCTCACTATAGAGATGGTGTGTGTGTGTGTTCTCGATATAAATCAGTTTCAATCTATAATAGTTGTTACTCATGGACTTCATGAGTAAAGCAAAAGGGGATTTCTGCCTATCCCTGCCGACCCTTTAGTTGCATAAATCGTGGTTTGTGTGCTTTTCAAAATAGGGAATCATAGACACCCATTGCACAATCTCTGGTGTGACATTCCTCTGGACTCCCCACTTCATCCCCCCTTGGGTGGTGGACCATGGAGGCTTCCTTCTGAGTGATTGGATATTTACAATACTCAGTGAGAAGAGGGCATAGCTGATTGAACTGCTTCTAGACAAAGTAACTTATTCAATTGATCCTGCATTTCCCCTGGATGTTTTTCCCAGGTAGACCACACCCGGCAAAATAACATATTCAATTTATAAAAGACATTTTCCCCTGGATGTTTTTGTCTGAGTGGACTGCACTTAACAAAATCACTTAATCAGTTATACAAGGCTCTTCCCCTGGATGTTTTTGCCTGGGCATATTGTACTCGACAAAATAACATAATTAATTATCATGCATTTCCCCTGGGTGGACTGCACTAGACAAAATATTTTATTAAATTTATAATGTGCTTCCCCTGAATGTTTTGCTTGGGTGGACCACACTGGACAAAATAACTTAATCAGTTTTAAGGCATTTCCTCTGGATATTTTTAGATAATAAAACTTCATCAATGGGTCAGAATATCAAAACCCAATTTGAGTTTCTCCTGGATGTTTTTGCCCAGGTGGATCTCACTCAACAGAGTAACTTCATCAGTTGACAAAAACAAATAACCCTTTTGGAGTTTCCCCTGGATGTTTTTGCCCAGGTGGCCCTCAATAGAACAACTATCGTATTTATTCGTTACCATCAAACAACCTATTTGCGTTTCCACAGGATGCTTTTTGCTTGGGTGGACTGCTCTAGACAGTTTTCTTAATTAATTGATTTCTTCAGGTATAGATCACATGGTCTTCATGCCCTAGTCAAATGTTGTTATTCCAGTTTCACACTAGTACAATATCAGGCACAATCCTGTGACAAATGGAACATATGTTCTTCAGAACATTCAGCATTACTATCACTTGTCCAATGCTGTAAGTATTCTTACTGCATTCAATTGTGTCTGTTTTTCCATTCTGCCGATTTCTTGTTATTTTCCTCTTTCCTGGGCAAAGAGCATACCTGTGCCAAAAGTAGTGGAGTATTCCACTGGTGTGCTTTATTTTCATCTCATAGCACACATGTTAAATCTAAGCATTCGCCTTCTTCTTGGTTTGATATTTGTACGCCTAAACTGCCACCCTGCTTTGTGTGAGGGAGGTAAAACTGTTATGAAAGTTAACATGTTCTTACACTGAAAATACATAATTCAGTGAAAAAAAATTTACTTCAATTCCAGAAAAACATAGATATTACAGTGTTTACTATTTAGCAAGAAACCTTATGATGGTAGTAGATGACATATTTGTAGAAATTATAAGAAATATTAAAATCACAAACATATTGGAATTGTTTTTCTAATTCCAAGATCAACATTATTAAAAACTTGAAAAGATAATTAAATTGATAAATACAAAACATCATACATTTCTAAGTAAAAAAAACTGTTGATAGTGACAGAAGTTTAGAAAGAACACAATATAATGATTATGATAGTGACAAGTTTAGAAAGAACACATTATAACGATTA